TTTTTTTTTATCGATAAGCTTTTTTTCTATATCGCCCAGCCCTAACTCCTAGTGAGTAATATGTTCAATCTCACTTTTAAAGATGTGATCAAATTGTTTTAGATTGCCTCACCATCTTTGTGATCCGATCTGTCTTCTTTCTGTCGGCAGAGGTTAAACTTCATGAGGCTACATGTGCCGTCCTGTCCAGCAGCAATCACACCGTCACCCACAGCCATGTTCATAGTAGCGCGTTTGTCTGTATTATGAGAGTGAAGAAGACTGGAGCTGTACTGATTTTCTCCAACCATCTTCAGATCCAAAAAATGCTGTAAGACAAAAGTTGGAAAAAAAATTTCTTGTCTCTAAATAGAAGTTTACGCGAAAAATTTTGGAAATGTGTTTTCATAAGAAATATGTTCACAATTATGAATATAGTACACAATTTCTATAAATATTTAATTAGATATTTTTACAACATTGAGAGAGAGTACAAATTGTATAACAGAATAAATTTGCTGTCCCCTTTAAATACAAACTCTTAACATTACTGTCAAAACAGCTGGCAACAAAAGTACTGTCAATGTCATTGTACTGAATGTACAGCATCCCTCTCTCTTGCCCAAAGTCCTGACACGCCTGCTTCTATGAGTTTTTTCTCATCCAAATCAGAAGATGATGCTGCTCCCTCCACCTTTCACCTGTCTGTCTCTAGAATGGTAATCAGTCAGCAGGTCGTGATGGTGTCACCCCCAGTGTCCTGAAGGCCTGTGCAGAGCAGCTCTGTGCAGAGCATCTCTTCAACCTTAGTCTCACCCTGGAGACAGTTCTAGTGATGTGGAAGTTGTCAATCCTCTCTTATAGTTTGTTTTAAACAGGTTGACTGTTACAAACTGGCTCATACTCTGGGCAGAGGAAAACAAGATTATGATCCGATTTCCTGAGAGGAGGTCTTATTTCAGAGATGCAGGAGTCCTTGACGTTTGCATAAATTAAGTCCAACATTTTGTTTTCTCTTGTGCCACAGCTGACAAACTTTTGGGACGATAGCAGTGAAGCAGAGCGTGAGGTGTGATTAAAATCACCAGTTATTGCGTCAAATGCATTTGGCTAGTAGCAACAGAACAGATCACCTGTCATAAAGAGCTGGCATCGGCAGAAGGTAAAATGTAAACAATTACTAACAGAACACTGGTAAACTCTCTGGGCAAATTCTTCTTTAAATCTCTGATTGCACAGTCAGAAAGCCTTTGCAGAGAGATGCTGGAGCCGGATTTATGACCATTAGGCCATGTTTCATAATGTTGCATTACCAACACTCTGGCTGGGTTCTTGTCTCCTAAAAATGTCACATTGACCATAATGATTGATGGAAGAGATGGCTTAAATTTATTGTTCATCTCTCTTCTACAGGCTCCTGCTCTGCATCCCCGGCGCCTCCTTTTCAACTCAGCTGGTACTTGCAGAAGTAGTTTGGGTGCTATTTTAGCTTCAGATTAATTAGCTGCTGTTGGGTGTTAAAAACCCCCCCAACCCAAAATCAACTTTCTATGGTTGCTGTCGTAAAGCATCATAACAATTATCGAAAGAGGAAAAAGATTCAGTAACAGTCCTCCCAGTTTCACAGCATTCAACACCAAAGGCAAAAAACATCAGAAAAAGAAATTCTGATCCAAAACTGGAAGAACTTAAATTACAAAAAACAGAGTCAAGCCAGCAGAGCTACTCCCACATGCAGTCATCTTAAGCAGAGCTATTCTAGAATCTATATATCTATAAATAGCACCTACAATAGGGATTTCAGTGTTGATGAGGGACTTTGGCCAGCATCTAAAACCATGTCTGCATTGATCTGAAATACTTACCACAGCATTTTGTATTCCTGTCTTTGAGGCACCCCCGCCTCCTGCTGTTATCACAAGCCCTGTAGCTGCATCCACTTTGACGCTGTAAAGTGGAAATGGAGCTCTATACAGATCAAGCACCTTCTTCTTTCCCATAGTTCTTCACGAAACATCAGCACTCAAACACACCTGTTGAAAACAAATTGTTAGTAATACATACACACACAAACACTATGGTTGTCAGTGAAACTACAATTTCAAACTTGATATAGATTCTCAAAACATGCAATGTCATTGTCAATACTGCAGCAACTTCATTTGCCATTAGGTTCTCAATTAAGGCTGGGATTAAAAATTTATTTAATTTATGTTGGAATGATTCTTTACATTTTTGCAGCTAAAATAGCAACTAAAACAATAGGTAGGAAGACAAAATGTGGAAAATGAAAGCAACATATTAATCTGAGGTATGATTAGCAAAACATAAAATCTGTTGTCCTTCACTAGGGGGGGGGGGGTCCTCCCAGTTTCAAAAATGAATTTCAGGCACTGTAACTACTTATCTAATGATTGAAAATTGGCCCAAAATTAAGTTTTAGCATACTTTCCCAGAGTAACAATCGCAGTATGAACAAGAGGTGATGATTTATCCATACTTTGAGACTGCTGGGAGTACATTGCATTACAGTCACATGTTTAATGAAGTAGTTATTTTATAACTTATTTATTACATTAAAAAAAAATTGTATTTTACCAAATTTTCCAAAAGTAAAACTTTCTGTATAATCAACAGATTTTTTTATACCTTGATTTTGGTTGAACTACAGTGCTAATTATAGAGTTTAGACTTTAGACTTCAGACTCAACTACGCCCTCAGGTAAATTCTGGTTCCAGTAGATTATATAGAGTACAAAGGGCAGAGTAAAAGCAAGATGCCATTAAAGATAAAGACTCAACAGACAATATAAAAAGTTTATATAGTACAAAAAGCATCTAAAAAAGTTGCAATGTACTGGAATATATTTCATTTAGGTATAAAAATATCTGCACAGTAGTAAGGGAAGACTACACAGTAGTTGACTTGATTTACTGCACTTGTACTGCAGATATGTGCTGACCTTATAAATGCACAGTGAGAGAAAATATTAAGTAAGCCCCCCACGTAGCTGTCCTCCAGCAGTACCTGAGCAGCCAGGTGATTGGGTAACTGTACGCAGAAAGCGTAGTCGTGGATCTCTGCCCACTGGTCACCACCAACCCGAATCAGGGTTGGTGGTGACCAGTTTCTAACAGATCTCCCCCGCTCAGTGACGCACCCAATGAGAAGCCCACTCTGGTGATTGGCAGACAACCAAAATCAATTAAATGTGGTTTATTTATCATAAGATCTCTTTCTTCAAAAAGTCTGCTAGATGACTAGCCTAGTAAAGTAGCCCCACTCGCCAGCGTCCTTAATCATTTTTGCCTGCCAGTGGTCTAGGCTCAGTTCTAGGGCCCTGGGCCCTGGGCCCTAGAACTGGCGTGCCAATCACAACGCAGAGATGTGTTTTGAGGGTGTAATGACGAAGCTGTGAGACGCTGGAGAGCACAACAAGGAAGATGTCAACAATTATTGAACAGTTCTCGTTTGACTCAGCTTTGGAATCAGTTTTGGAAGGATCAGACTTGTAGTTTTCTTTGACATGTGAGCAGGAAGAGGCTCTATGCTCAATCCTTTTTTAAGGACGTATTCACAGTTTTACCGACAGGCTGTTTGTTCACACTCCCCCATCAGCTTTTTGTCGCACTTACTACGTCACAGTCAGTTGCGCTCATTGGTCAGTGGTGGCCAATAGGCACAGACACAGTTTGAAAAACAACAGGTTGTATTCATCAACAATCCCTCGATGGCTCATTCACAGGGTCAGACTAAATGACACATTTAATCTCACATTAAGTCTGGTTTATCAGGCTAATGGATGACCTGTTTTGTTATAATCAAAATGATTTATCTTGTCTTGAAGAAATGTGGCTGCAGCCGCAGGACTGAAAGCACAAATAAAGCAACTCCGTCTAGTTATTCAAATTTTCACATACCCAGAAATTCTGGACAGGGAGATGATGCAGCAACAATATTTCAGTCCGACTGATAATTTACTCTGCAATAAGTTAATAATTAGAACTCTTTTGAACATTTAACATTTCATTTCAACTTGTCCTTACTCAGAATTTTTCCTATCAGATTTGGTGTTGAATACTGACAGGGTCATCATAGTGGAGGATTTTAACATCCATGCTGACATTTAAGGTGATTGTTTTAATGCATCCTGTAATGTTAGACTGGAATGGCTTTGTTCAAAATGGGAATAGTCCCACACATTCTCATCTTCATACTTTGGACCTTTTGCTAACATATGGCATTGAATGCAAGGGGATAACAGTATTTAATCACAACCGTGTCCTCTCTGACCACTTTTTAATAAACTTCAAAATTATTTTAACAGAGTTCTCCTCCCCCAAAAGGCAGATCATTATCAGATAATGCAGTTAAAAAATGTAAAATAATCTGTTCCACTTTCTATTTCCTATTGAACTGCGAAGGGCAACAATTTGATTTATTCCCCTTCAAAAACTGATGACTTTGTTTATGGGCTTACAGATTCCCTGCATACTGCCTTGGACGCCGCCAACACCTCCTCAAAAAAAAATTATAATTTTTGAAAAAGCTTGCTCCCTGTCATGATGCAGAGCTGCAAAACATTTAAGCAAAAAGCCAGTTAACTGAAGAGAAGATGGCAGTCTATATGCGTAAGGGAAATCCTAGCTCGGTTGGAAAAGCAAGAGCAGCATATTGAACCTGACCCATAGCTCTTTAGAACCATCTATTCCCTCGGCTCTTAGCAGTAAGGTTTTAATGGGATTCTCTATAAACAAGATTGATTCGAACACAGCCAAAGACCAGTCAGCAACAGGTGTTGTGACAAAATATATGACCCGTCAGTTTTTGTGACTCTTGTTTACTCTCTGTAGTAAAGTCTTATCAGCAGTCTACTTTCTAACCAAAGTATCACAGGATTAATACCTGAACCTAAAGCCACAAGTCTAAGGTCTATGATGAAACCCTTATATATTACGGCTCACAAATTCCGTCCTAACACCGGCATGTCTGTCTGTCATAACAGTAAGATAACAGAATCGCAACTTTCTTTCCTGTGGCTGTCCTGTCACCGCGCTGATGGTCTCCTACCTTTGAAGTTTAGTCAGTTTATCTTGGATGAGGTTATGTCAAAAAAATACAAACAAAAACCACCGAAATCATAAGGGGTTTTCAATAACAACAGCGCACTTTGATATAAGCTAAAGCTGCAGCTTCCTTCCAACACGTCAGCAAGCCCGACTTCTTCTTCTTCTTCGGATAAAAGAGCTGGCACAGCCCCCCCAGTGGAGGACTTTATATGAACCTCAAATTAAAAAAAGAACTGGCGATCTCCAATGGAGGATTTTTTACATTTGTGTGGGTTCCAGCACATATTGGGGTAGAAGGAAACGAGAGGGCAGATCAAATGGCAAAAAGGGCTATTAAACATTCTATTAGTTTTAT